AGTAGCAGTAGCAGTAGTAGTAGTAGTAGTTGTAGTTTTGGGGGATCAGTACTCTAAACCCTGCGAACCTGCCCAGATCCCTTGCGCTACCAAGGATACCAACGGTTCCTGGGCGACTGCGAGCAGCGCACCGTCGATGGGCAGCGTGAGATCAGCTTCGACGAGTGGGTGAAGCAGCCACTCGGCACCCGTCACAGCCGTCGCCCGATGGGCGGGTGGACGGGCTCCTTGGATGGGGGTGCCCATTGCGTTCGAAGCGCGTAGTAGTAGAACGGACCTTACTGGTGTTCGAAAGAAGCACAACAAGAGGTGGGAATTGTAGCCCCAAGCCTTCCTAAAGGTCCGCTTGATTGGTTGGGCCATGGATAATAGGAGAAGGTTCCCATGGCCCGTCAATGCGCACATCCCTTGCCATCCTGCGCAGGTACGAATGGAGATACGATGCCGATGAACGCCTCAAGGTGCGGATCCACCGGAGCATCGACCATGTCTTCTTAGTTGAAAAAGGTTGTTGATCTGAAAAGCACAGGCGTGGCTTTGGGAAACATAAATTTTTGTGGTTTGAGATAACAGAAATTCAACCACATGAACCACAAACAATATATGAGTAGGACCACACAACAAAGAGAGAGTGGCCCTCAAAAGATCTCAAAAGGAAAGATGCTCTTGCAAGTGCTCTTACACTAATTATGGTGTTTTCTACCTGGTCTTTCTGCGCAGGCGCGCAAGGATTTCCCGGAATGCTTCAGCCATTCTGGACCTGCTCCGCTACCTGTGGAAGAGTGGGAGGTGGACTATTTGACACATAAGGAGATCGAGAAGATCATGTGACCTGGATTGATCGTCTCATTCTTCTCAGCAGACCTAGGTCCTAGGTTGATGTGACCCATATTGGCTCAGTTTACGGGGGAGGCTAGAGATTACTGTGGAAGTGTGTTGATGGTTCATCCAGTGGTTCTTTTTTCCGAGGCCGACACGAACCAATGGTAATCACTAGGCTTGTGGCTAGCTTGTGGGGGTTGAGTGGAGCCAAATCAACATGAATGATTCATCCATTCTTCTCAGTGGGAAGATGTGGGAAGTGCAGCCCTTTGTTTTGTCTGCAAGAATGAACCAGTACCCATCATGTTTATCTAGCGCTGAGTCAACTGACACCGTGTTGCCAGGTATCGACATCCAGCATACACCTCTCAGGCCTTAAAAGCTTTGATGATTGTGCATGGAACCCCAATTCGGCGGCACTTCCTGGCACTTCTTCAGCCATTGGTCTAGCCAGTAGCCTCAAATTTGCTGGGATCATCGACGTTTTCAACCTCCACCAATGTATGTACCGTTTTCCACGGCTCGCCCACACACCGAGCACCGGGTTCCGTCCAGGTACCGGCGGCAGACGGAAGCCTTAGCTGCTCGGAGAAGGAAAGATGAGAAGAAGGAGGCCATTGTGGTGGAAGAGGCCGGGTGCACGGAGAAGACCAGTCGCCACCCAGGTACCACTCAGGTATCACCCAGGTACCACTGGATCCTCTCAAGACCCTTTCTAGATCCCTTGAGACCTTCTCATGACGCGTCACGCGTCACACACGTCACGCGCTCTCCAGGGGTGATAGGGACCCGAAGCAGTGTGTGAGGTTTCCGCTTGGCAGGAATTTGGAGAACTCCACACACACAGTTGGTGACATGTTGGTGCTTGGTTGCTGAACGTGTAGAAAATGAACACACACACACACACTTGCTTGACGGAATGATTCATGCCGCCCGAAAACTTGTGATGCAGATGATGAAACTGCTTCTGAGTCACATCATCTACATTTTCAATCTATCCTCCCACATGCACCTGCCAAGCAGCGAAAACTGAGCAATGGGAAGTGCTTTCATCGCCGTTGCCATTGCCGTGACTGTTCCGCCTTCGGTCCAGGCGGAACCGATCGCGTCGGTGAACCAAAGCGCTCGGCTCGGCAGGACAAGTTTCGAAGCAAGCTCTACGTGGATGCCGAGGATGAGAAAATCCTCAAGGATGCTGTCATCAAGAGAGGCTGGGAAGGAACGTTGGAAGGAAGATGTTGGAAGAAAGAGAGAGAACGGGATGTGGTGTTTGTATGTGTTCGTCGCCGGTATCCCTTCTACACGACTGAGTCGATTGCTGGCTTTTCGGAGTCTGTCTTGGAAGCACAAGCCAACTGTTTGTAGCTGAGTAGCTGCGTGGTTCCAGTTATGAGCTTCTCCTGGGTTCTTTTCAGTTGGTAAGGTGATAGTTAGTGATAACTCATGACCAATTTTTTTGAGGACTTGCCGGGCATGTTCCATCATGTGTTGGATACACCAACCATCACCGATCTATAGCTTCTTGTTCGAAGATCAAGTCGCACCGGCCACTGGTTTGATGTGATCTCCAGTGGTGTCGGATTGAAACTGATGTCGATGGTATTTTTGATCGACGAGCAGCACCAGAGAATGGAGACAGTTCACAGAGGAGTGAGATCGATAATATGAACCCTATGACTTCTCACAGACGGATCACACCCAGCAATTGACCACCAAAGTAGGGACTGGCCGAAAAGGGAACAGCTCGTCTCTCACTCCCGTGCACACCCGGCTGAGACCACCAATTCTCTCCGGTGCCACATGTTTGCACAGAAAGCCACCAGTTGGCCTTACAATATCTAAATAGCCACTACTTTGAGACCACAACTTAGGCCGGTGCCACAAGCCACTTTTGCCGCTGCGAGGCTACAACTACTGGTGGTAGCACACGCGAGGCGCGAGGGGAGGCAGATCGCCTGGATCCTCAGACTGTCTCAGACCCACGGCCGTTTTGATGCAAGGGGCGCGTGCGCCGCGCCCCGTTCGCTGCGCCTGCGCCGCTGCAGGGGGCGCCGCCCTCCTTGCACGTTTTAACCGCTGGGAATGCGGAGATGTGGGAATCTCACAAGTGTCTCATGAGGGAAGTGAAGGGTCACTGCATGACTGACGGACAACAAATCATATGCCATCCTCACATTGGCAACTAACTAGATCTTTTGATTCTTTGATCTTATCCTCTCTTGTATCCGAACTGCTGCGGTGGGGGATGGATAGAACCATAGAACTTACTTCGATGTTCGCAGTTCTCATTCAGAACTCATGGGGCGACCTGCTCCGTGGGACTTCCTCGGATCTCCGGGTTTGTACAGAGCCGAGCTCACGCCGAGCTCACGAGACACACGCGGCACCTCGTCCCGTCGCAAAAGGTGCTTGTGCTTGCAGACTGTTTCCAAACATGCCAAGAGTATTGAAGGCCTTGGATTTGACAGTCCTTTCTATATGGTGGTACCATCAAGGAGACAAACAGAAGATCCTTTCAATTCTATTGAGTCATCTCCACCATCTCCATGTCAATTCTCTGGACCTTTTGTCCAGGCCACAGAGAAGAATTGGATGGCGACCTTCCAGCTCTACCGGATCATTGCCGCCTGGCCCACCGATCACCTCGACGCCTCGCATGGTTATTAAGGGATGAGCAGCTGCGGTTGGGATGCCGCAGATATCCATCAATTAGCATTTCCATTTTAATTATATGTACCCCTAGAAGTCGAAAGACTCTATACGTTATCCCTCTGAAGTAGAAGTAGAGAAAGTTCCTCTTGGGATTACCTAAAGACCATTTTGTAAATTATACATGTATTTCATAGTAATAGTGTATCCGTGTATCCTATATAAGGTGAATTTATATTGTATTATAGGTGAATTGTAGGTGATTGTTTCAGAGATGTTGGTGTTCTTTCCCAAAAAAGACATTTCTTAGGTGTGAAGCTCTAGTGAACCGATCCGCATGCGCTTCGGGTGAACTTTCGCTGACGTGGTCATTAGGGTTAAGCACATAAGCACAAAATTGATAGAAGAAGAATCCAACAGGAATCCTAATCCAAAATTTTGTGTGTTCTTTTATGCCTATGGAATCTCCCTACTCCAAAGCGAACACTGCATCCAACATAGAGTTGTGGAAGACCAATGATCAAAAACCTTGCTCCTCAAACAGACCGTTTTCTGCAAAATAGAAACGATTTCGTTCCCAGAATCCTTTTGGGTTCACAACAGTCCTTTTGGTGCGGCCACATGCTTCTGCTCAGGAAAAGCAGATGGCCTACGCCAGGGTCGACTGCTTAAAGCTTGCTCAGTGGGTTTGCAAACTTTGCTGGAAAGTCTTGTAAAGCTTCTTGAATCGCCTACAGATCTTGGGGCGCAGCATGCGCATTTTATTGAATTGCATCCGGCTTTCGCCAAACAAAAGGCCCAGACCGGTAGCTCAAAAGAACATCAGACTGTTGGACCATACTGGACGGAGATGTTGGGGTGGCTGAGATGTGTTCGGACGCTGCCTTCGATTGGCAGATCATTGAAAGCACATTGGCAGACATGCTATGCACGGCTCACACGCCTGTGGTGCCCCGCAACGGCTCGGCACTTGTGTGTTGGTTGGATCGAGGTCGGAATCGAGTGGGATCCATGGAAGCTGGCGGCGCAGCAGAACGCCACCATGTGAACGCCAGTTTCCTGAAAAGGTCTTCAGAGCTTGAGTGCACTGATGAAACAGATCGATTTCTTTGATTGGAAGAAGATCAACAATTAGTCTACACCTGACGACGCGATGTGAACGGACCGCAGTTGGAGTGTTCTGAGTGTTCATGAGACTCCACGCCGCGATGCGATGCGACTCCCCACTGCGATTCGCGTCGACGAGATGCAGCTTGTAACTAGAAATCCACTAGAGGGGAACCCTATGTTGTGCTCTTCCATGTCGGCTCGAAGGACCTGTAGCAAGTCGGATGAGGATGTTCGAAGCGTTTTCCGCTTTGGGTAATCACAATTGACGGCAATTATTATACCCATAGGAGCCAGGCATGTCACTGATTCAGTTGCAGAACTGCGACAAACACATTACTTGGCTGATCTCATGTGATTCATCTACATGACAGGAAGAATTCACGCCGAAAGCATGTGCCGAACATGAGGCCTTCGACAGCCTAGCCTTGTGACGATTTCACTGAAGCCCAGCAACCGGACAAAACCCCCAACCGAGCCCGGCTCGACCTGGCTTAACCTTGAGCCTAACCGGCTCGCGCGACTTTTTTCAAGGGTGCCCGCGGCCCCCATCCGGACCGTTGGACTCCACATGCAGCTGTCATGAGCTTGGGACCTCAAAAGCCTGGGAGGTCACAGGATTCCTCGAGAGCCGGCTGGGTCGGAGATCGAAGCGTTCTTCCTTTCCGGAAATACGCCACTAGAGTTTCCGGTTAAGCATGAATTTATATACCTTGGATAGACCGACCCCCTTCATGTTCATAAATTGACCGTGTTTACCCGTGCTTACACTGTGCCTTCTGGCTTTGATGTGTTCGTCTTCTTTAGGATCTCCGGACTTATATATACTTATATAAGTCGTCTTCTGCTCAGATAGCCACCCATGTTACCAAACACTCAGAACCCATCCTCGGCTGACCGGCGACCGGTCGATCCGGTCGATGGCCTTCATCTGGTGGCCGTGAGATTTGCCGAATCCGAAAAGCCGCGCTGTGTCCAATCACACCGGAAAAAAAAAGCAAACACATATATATGTTAGAAATTGTTAGAATATGTTTAAGATATGTTTCCTTAAACTGCAGTTGTAAGGTTTCATGATGTTCCTCCGTTTCATGCGAACCCAATGGTGTGAAGCTGTCAAGCAACCGACTCCCATCACCTCCACCATGGCCTCAAGCATGCTTGAGGATTCCTCAGTCACTCTGTGGGGTCTGTGAAAGATACCTGCTGCAAGTTCTGCAGCACTCAGGTCAACCACAAAGTTTGTCTATTGAAGTGCAGTGCTCAGCGGTACGGGTGTGCAGGGTGCTCCAGTGCCTTTCGATGCCATGGCTGCTTTGGTCTGTGAGAAGTTGAGTCAAGGAGATACTACGTGTGGTTCGTTTGCTAAAACTCTGTGTCATCTTCGTAGAGCAATTGGACCTCTTCGTAGAATTTAGATTGCAGCAGTTTCTTCGCTCAGCTTCTTCCCCCGACAAAACCTCTTGCGGTCGTGTCTCCTGCCGGTCCAACGCCGGCCATGGCGCGACGGCCGTCCAGGTGTTGCCATGGCCCGCGTTGTGCATCAACGCCAAGGGGAAGGTTCTGGACACTCGATGCGCGAAGGGTCGTCTTCGCCGGTCGAAGCCGACGAAGGAAGAACAGTACGGCGGCATCTTTCATGCTGAGTACTACGCGGCGTTGTTGTCTTTTCCCCTTTTTGGAGCACTTGCATGGAGTGTGTGCCTGTGTCATGCATGTTCAAAGCATGTCAAAACCTATGATATTCAGAGATATTCAGGGTAAATATATGTACATATAGTGTTTATACTTTACTGAGGTAAACTTTGAAGTTTGCACTATCCTTGGTGAACTATTGAGCATTTGGATGATAATGTTTTTGCAGACAATATGCATGGACAAGCTTGCCTCTGAACAGGACAAGCTTGGCTCTCAGATTGTCCACAATCATGTTTCATGCCACAAGCGGGGCTGCCATGTGCACATGATTACCTCTTCATCCGATCCTCCCTTTGTAGCGCCATGTCCCACCAAGGAGACCAACACCGCGACACTGACCTTCTTCGGTAGCAAAGACAAGGTGCGCTTTCCGCTTTCGGATCGCGGAGGACCGCGGAGGACCACACGCCACCAGCCACGCGCCACCGGCCCACCCTGGTGTGACGCGCCCGGCTGGGCTCGATCCAGGTCGACTTGCTCGGCTCCTTTGAAGCCTTGGTCGCGGAGGAGGCGAATGCGCACCTGCTCGGTTGAGGGCACCAGGGCCCGAGATGAGGGCAGTCCAAAGATCTTGTCCCGGATGCCACGTGTTGTTGTATTTTTTCTGCAGAGTAATGTGAGCTCTTTTATTCATGATCCCCGCCCATATATGAGGCGTGCAAATTTCATGGTGGGGGGTTATTGATCAAGAGTCTACATTGTACAGTGTACATTGGGCTCGCAAGTAGCGTCGGTGGCGAACTCATTTCCTTCGCAAACACACGAAGTTGCCTGACGAAGTGTGACGAAGTCGGTCCTTGTGATACCTTTGGATTGCCGGGTCATTGGACAAGCTGGCAAGAGATGCTGCTAAGTAGTGGTAGTACAGGCGCGCCTCAGGGTGCCCCTTCAGGTTTCTCATGTTGGGTGACAGCAGCTGTTTAATAAGGTGTGACATCAGCAAACACTGAGCCACCTGATCACCTGATCTTATTCTTTACAGGTCCTGAACCCCCTTCACCTCGCTGGCAGGTCTGGACAAGACTGATCAAAACAACTCTTCCAAGGCAGTAAACTGAACATTCATATCAATCACAACATGTTCATAAATGTTCTACTTGTGCCATCTTGTGCCTTTCTGCTCTGCATGTCCTTTTTCTATTTTCAGTTCCCTTTTTCATTTCACCTCCGGAAGAAGCACAGAGCTCAAGGAACTTGCCCGCCACCCCACCACCCCTCCCAATTCGATGTCTCGCCAGGAACGCGCCGAGACCGGTGTCTACTTGAAGGAGGTCCTCGAAGGCGCCGACAGCGGGAAGTTCTTCAAGGCGCGCAGCGCGCTCGACCGCGCCGGGCTCGACGAGCGCCGTCGGGAAGACACGTGGTGGTTGTTGGTTGGGGGTGGGCATGTTGGAGGGGCAATACTGTTTGCAGATGTGTTTGGTCCTGTAGCCTCTGAGAAACATTGATAGACTGATAGATGCAATCTCTTAACAACACCTTTGCCAAGATGCAGAGATGCAGCCAGATGTTCTAAGAATGTCCGACCCCCTAGACCGTACCTGGTACCTAATTAACTTATAGTACCATCTATACTTCAGGATTGGCATAGGATCAGACTTCTAACAGCGCTTGCTGTTTCTGGAGTCGTTCATAGTCGTTCCCCATGTTCATCAGAACCATGGCCCTAGGGATCAAATTGGATTCATTGGGATGAACATGCATGACACAAAGCTGTATATGATCTATAAATGTGCATCCTTTCTTCATCATCTTAGATGTCTAACATCTACTCCAAGATCTGCAAGCAGATTCAGTGCCATGTACATGTCAGATGCCCATCACCTGACATGGCCTCCCGGTCGTTGCTGCTTAGCTCCCCTCCCCGGCCAGGTGACGCTCGTCACGCGCACAGGCGCGGGGAGAAGCACTCCTCCTGAGAGACTCGTGGCTGAAGACCTGCTGAAGACCTGAACCAATTTGGTTGTGACTTGCTGATGGCCCTCATTTGGGGTCCTCCCCAATGGTTGTTCACAAATTTGGGACTGACTTGATGGCAGATCATTGGATCCTCCCAACTGGAGGGGTTTGCACCCAGAGGGCTCAGCCCTCTCCAGAACTGAATTAGAACTTGGAGCCTCATCAAACACATCAAACTGGAGCCGCACTTTTGTGTCTTGATTCTTAGGGTGATGCGATATGATCCAGAGCGGAGACAAACAGACATCATCAGCAATCCACTATATAAATCTATATAACACCACCCTATGTTCACGACTCAAGGTTTCTTCCAGTCGGTTTTTTGCCCCCGAAATGTCCTTCCGAGAACCTCATCATCCACCCGTCCCCACTTTCACGTTTCCGTCGTCCCCGCCCGGCACAAGCGTCCAGGGCGGAAGCAAGCATGCCTTCGGGCGGTGCCCCTGCGGACGGCAGGACCCCGCAGCATCAGACCGACTCGTCGGAAAAAGCGGACTGAGTGGAGGGAAGAAGACTACATAAACGGATGAAGAGGTTGTATGTTACATAGGGTGTTAAACGAATTATATTGAATTATACATGGTTATATAAAGATACATGGTTATACTAGGCTGCAGGTTGTAGGTGATATACATGCATGGTACCATGTATACCACCGGCAGATATGATGTATTCCACCATGACATAGAAGGATCCACTTTGGAGAGTTCTCGGGGATTTCTTATCCGAAAAGATCTCGCCTTCCACGTTCATGCCACTTGGGTCCATAGAGGTAGCCCGCAGTGGATCTATGTTAAGATCGATATGTTCATATGGTCTTTGTGTTAATAAGTCTCAGGCACCAAATTGATCCTTCTCCACTTTGCAGCCCACTGTCCCACTATAGCAACAACTGGAGCCAGCCTAGATGCCCAGTGGACTGCATGTACTTACTCGTCCAAGTGTACCTCCTCTCTGGACAACCCATGGTGGCTCAGTCGGACAGGAAAGTTGGATGGCGCAACCATCCTGGTCCAAGACATGGGTGAGATCAGAGCTATGGCAGGCGACGGACACATTCGCACGGTTTGTGCTACACGGAATTGCAAGCCCCAATACCAACTGGTTTGTTGTCCTGTCAATGTGGAGGCTTCTCTTTCCCTCCCAAACTCATGTTTCTTCCATTGGCTTTGGCCACACCAAAAGAAGCACTTCTCAACCTATTCGAGGAGGTGACTGAGTCGTGCTCGCTAGATAGGTTTCTCAGAGAATGCGGGCGAGCACCTGCCACACGACATGCCCCTCATCCTTCCCCTCATCCGCCCCTCATCTGCAACTGCTGGAGCTTTGGCACCGTGACGCAGCAAACTCGCTCCATGAACCACCCAACTTGGTGTTTGCACACCGGTGATGACCCCGGTGAAGCACACCAGCATCTTTCATTCCATCGGGGTCTGGACCCTAAGGCCAGTCCTAAGGCCCAGAAACCTGTGGAGTGAAAAACTCGGTGAACCAAACCCTTGAAAACCTGTCAAGTTCACTAGCACTGAAACACCAAGGGTGAACCAACCCTAGCTAGTGTTCTTGCCTGGAGGCACTAGCACTGCGGGTGGCGCCGAACATTTGTCTGGAGCGCTGGCCGCCAGTGGCATGGCTTTGCACCTGGGCGGACGATGTGCGTCTGTTTTGGGCGACCTGCGGTAGTGACTCTTTCTGGAAAAAGTAAAACAGTCTTGGCGCTTATGGAGTTCACAACCTACCCTTGGTGTTCCTCTTGGAGTGCAGGCTGCAGCGAATCTCGATGTGGGGTCGTCCTTGCTTCGGACATTAAACATGGTGTATAGCTGCATGGTCATGCAGTGCCAATAAGAGCTGCGCTGCACTGCACATTGCACTGAAGACGTTGTTCCAATCCGTTTTTTTACAGCCGGGCCGCTGAGAAATTGTGGGTGTGCAGATCGGTCTTGACTTAGCCGACATGCTTTTTGGAAAAAGGCGGTGAACGCCATGCTTTGGACGGAGGATTGGCACTGACATGGCTGGCAAGATCATCGAGTGGACGCCGAGCATGGAGCTCCTTGGAGAAAAGAACATGACCGTATGTGTGTGTGTGTGTGTGAGTATGTGTGTGTCGAAGAATTAGGCTGCTACATATAGATCATAGATCTATGTTTGTAGGGACCAGTCAAACAAAGGGACATGACATGGACATGGATATACATACGGCACGGTACAAATGGACATGTTTGGCATCATCTCCTCACCCAACCTCGGATGGTTCTTCCAAACAAGCTCGAGAAGCACCCGGCGGCACCGCGGCACAGCACGGCTTGCCACCGCGGCACAGCACCGCGGCACCTCCCCCGAGGAAGCTCACGGGGCTCTCGAGCGGCCAGGCCAAGGGTCAAAGCTTGGCCAAGGCGCTGAATGCCGCTGGGCAACACCGGCACTCTCAGCGACGCCCGCGACGGCGCGCGTCCGCGACGTCCGCGCGCGACGCGACAGCTCGGCACGGAGAGCGTCGTAGGCGGTCCCACTGGTCAAGCTACCTCGACCATCCGAGCATCTGGGCGTAGTGGGCTGGGTGGTCCAGTCCAGATGGTTGGATGGTCCTGGTAATAGATGCCATTGCTGAGTCAATGGAGAGCGGATTCCGGTCAAGGCTCTCAAAAAGGCCACAAAAAATGTTTTCAAGGCTCTGACACAGGTTCCCGAGCTTTCGCGGGGGGCCCGTTGGCTTCAAAAGGATTTAAAGGACGTATCGAAACATCTTCAGAAGGGTTTTTTCGCATCCTGAAGCCAAAGAAGACCACCCTTAAACCAGAGGCACTGGTATCTCAATGTATCTGAAACCCTTCAGGATGTTAAACCTTCCTACCATATCCTACCATCTTTAAGGGTCTTCAGGTCCACCTTTCAGACTTGAACGTCAGTTCACCCGAGCTGCAGAACGAGCTGCTTTCCCCCAGGCCATGGCTCCAACGCCCATCGAGACGGCGCTCGAAAAGGCGCTGCGTGCCTTGGCGAGCGAAAGGTGAGGAGAGTGAAAGGTGGTTGAGCCACTTGGGGGATTGAGCTGCTTTGGCATTTTCATGTGGGTTTTGTTGGGTCAGAGATCCACTATGTGTATGTAGGCTGTATAGTTGTTGTTTTCTAGTATGGAATTTGATGTCCTGTCAATGACCCAACCTTTCAAAGAGGGCCGGAATCCTTCCGGCCCTGTCTTTTCTTCCGGACCGATGCCTTGACCCTTCTTCGTCCGGGGCCATCCGTCGACGCGTTCCCATCCGCCGCCCACCGTGACGGTGTGCCGCCGAGGTGGTCAGAACGTCGCTGGCTTCTCCACGGAGGTGAGCACCACCAGCCGCACGGCCAGAGATTCGGCTGGTGCGGGCGAAGGAAAAAGCGTCCGGAAGGGGGAAGGGGGCAAGCGTACGCTTTATGGGGGTTGGACATGTTTGGAATATTAAATTCAATTCAATTTGTGTTGACTACAAATGTTCTATTAAGCCATATTAGGCCACTGGCCCAGCAAGGCTGCGAGAAGTGCAAAAAATGTCGTGTTATTTTCAATGTAAGTTTGCTTCAGTAGTCTTGGTTCCGTAGATAGCAACGTTCAATCTGTTGCAGGGAATTCGACTCTCAGAAAGGTGTTGTTCATAATGTGGAGAGTGTTTTTGGATGTTTTGGTTGCAGGAATGCTGCCAGATTTGATAGCAATTCAGACGGAGATATGCTAGGCCTACGCTTGTCAAGAATGAAGAAAGAAGAAGAAAAAGATGAGAATAAAGGCCATTGATTTGTTCTTGCATGCACTCGTGGCCAAAGTCTTTTCATAGTCTTTTCAGGAACGGTTTCTTGCTATGTGAAAAAAAAAAACACATGCGACAATTTGTTTGCTTGCCATGTTTCTCTTCCCCTGACCTGCACACACACACACACACGGACACGCCAGCTTGCTCGATCGTATCGCGCCCTCTTCGCTCCTCGCTCCTCGCTCCCTTTCGGCTCGGCGCGCCCACCGTGACTCTAACGACCAAGGTGACAAAAGCCGGGACACTTGTTTTGAATGAGTCGCTTCGGCTTTGGGATGGAACATGATGGAACAGACCTGGCTCAAGACCATGCAGATGTTCAGTGACCCAGAGATTTTGCTCATTCTATCCAACGGGGTGAGTTGATTTGTTCGGGATTTCATGTTTCCATATTCTTCCTGAACATGCAGGAAACAATGAAAGCAGCATCCTGTGGAGTTTTGGGAGACTGAGGCAGACATATACTGGCAATTCTGCATGATGCTTGCTGATTTCTGGCAATGACTCCTTGACTTCTGGATCAGTCACACAGCAGACTTCTTGGCTCGCTCCTTCTTATGGGTTGGTTGAAGAGACCCACGAAAGACACTGTTTCCGTTGGGTGGAACGGCGCATCAGATCCGCAAAAACACATGTGGGCCATTTTAACGAAGAAAAGGAGCCTGGTTTGTTGCTGATCTCTGCGCCACAACGTGAGCCCGACCAGTCCACCATGTAGCGAGTTTGGCCTTCCAGGTAGGTTAACCAAAGTACGCCATCACCCACCGGCCATATCGTGTGTTGATCCCTTAGGGTTTGCTAGGAACCAATGGCCTCAAAGGGACCACCCTACCATCCAAACGCTTTTCTTCCAGAGACCCCTCCTCACCTTCATGTTCCACACCTCCAAAAGCACCTCCAACCTTCACCTAGAAAAGCTCCCGCCGGGCCGGCGCCGCCCTCGCGGTCCTCGCCCGCGGCCCACGGCCCACGGCCGGGGAGACCGCGACGCGACCGGTGAGGAGGGCTTTCTCAGCTTGGCGCCGTGGAAATCGGCCACCGGCCGCCTGGTGGGCGTTGTGGCGCGCTTCGAGGATGCCGCGGACGTGGACAAGCGCATGGCGGAGGCAGGACGAGGGGAGGGTGGGTGAGGGGTGAGTGGGGCGAGGGCTGGGTGTTTCGGAGGACGGTTGGGGGGTGGATGGGGGTTGGAGAGGTTAACTTGTGCATGGCTGGGTGGAGGATGTGGAAGTTGGAAGGCTCCAGGGCTTGGGAAGTGAGTTTCGTCCCAAACCCCTGAAGCGAGAAGCGTTCACCCACAGATCAGTTTTCAGGCGAAGGAGTGGTTCACCATGTGTTGGAATGGAATCCTTCTAATACTAATGAAAATCTCCACTATAAGGCGCTATATATAAGATGCTTTGTTTGTTACCAGTCGCGCAGCGGGCCTGGGCCTAATCAAGTTGGATTGGTTCGGATGCCACTCCCAACCGCTGTGGCAGGCAGATTGGATTTGTGCCACTTGGGACCAATTGGATCCGTCGGGTTCAACGCAATTCACTGAATAGGCCCGTCTGTGGGCCCATTGCCCATCTTGGGAAGGACCCATTTCTATCTCAACGGGGCCTGTCAAGGTGGCTATAGGGTTTGAGGCAACTTTGAATATAATATTTATATAATTCTGATTCGATGTATGTTGGCATACTTTGGGCATGGTCCACGTGTCCGAGACTGGAATTCGATCGTTGTTCCCGTGGGTGTGTGTCGTTGCGGAGGTCTCGTGTCTAGCCACGCGTGTGTGGAGAAAGGGCGCGTGTGATCTACTTGATGTCTCCCTGGGCATGTTTGGGCCCTTGAACCGATTCTGAAAATGGGCGTGTTCCGGTCCTTTTCGATTGGCCCCACTTGGAAACATCGTCGCCGAAACCAAGAGCGCCATTGGCCGGCAACGGCTTTGCCGGGGAACCTGCAGGAGGGGTTTCTCGTTTCGAGTCGAGTCGAAGGTTTCGCCCGAGCCTTGGAAGATGTTCGACGGGCCCTGAGGATGCGAGTACTCAGCAGCTGGAAGAGGCCAATGCCTTGATCTTCTCCATGGACGCCAGTTTGTACCTTGGCCCACACCGAAGAAGTTTGGGGAGCAAAGATCGAAATGCCACTGGGCTTGTGGAAGCATGAGTTGATGGGTAGCTGCTAGCTTATAAGATCTTGCCACCAAAGGATCTTGGGACATCTTGGCATGTTGAGCTATGGGGATCACACCCACATGGGGATCAAAGGCACTGAACGATGTGACAAGCATAGATGATTTGCCAGTCTTCCAGGGTTTCAAGGTCTACAAAGAGCTTTCTTGCAATGTCTCACTATGACATACTCGTAACATCTATGGAGACTTCAAATGCTCGTTTGACATGTATTACACGTTTGTTGTTCGGCGCTGTGCTAAGCGATGTTGCTTCGTTTTGAAGGGACACTCCGAAAAGAAGCAACTAGCAATCTTGGATCTATGAGCAACCGACCAAATGATTGGAAGACTATATCAATCTAAGAGGTCGCCGCGGTCGCTGAATGGGAGAAGTCGAAGAAACCCTTGGCTGAAATGGGCGTGCCTTTCTGTTTGTCATGTCGTTGAAACTCCCTTCATAGTGCCTTGGTGGACCCTTTGGGTGGACGTCAGTCGTTGGTCAGCTCCGCAGGACGATCACGGAGTGGAATTCTCGCTTGGTCACTGCCACAGGGAAAGCACGCGAACGGGCGGTTGGGAGTCTGGTCTGCGAAAGGAGGGCATGTGCTTAATATTTCTTCACAGAGACGTGTAGGCAATGTAGGTATTATGTCTCATAGAAAAGAAACTTACTTTTGGGAAGAAGAAGTGTGTCCGAATGAAGGAAACACGTGGAGAGTCTCATCATGACGCTTTTGGACACATACTTATTAAGAAAAGATAACTCCCCTGCAGCACGGTTTTGATGTTCAGAATGGGAGAGTCTGGGAGACCTAAATGACTTCACCATACCTTCGAAACAACAACACAAACTCCCCTGCAGACCCCCGAAAAGAGAGCTCGACGTTATGCGGGTGTGGTTTTTACGCGTTTTTGTTGTGTTTTTCTTGGATTTTGTAATGTTTTGAAAGAGTTTCCACGGTTGCGGTCTAGATATGTTCTTGTGCTCCTGTTTCCCAAACAAACCAACTTTTATTTGTTTAAAGCAACCTCTGGATCCGACTCTACCCTTCCTTGCCCATAAGCATTCTCATTGTTGCAAAGGTAGCACTTTTGGGGCTTCTCCCTCCACATTCTTTATGAAATGGGCTTCTCCCTCCACATTCTTTATGAAATGGAGAGAAGATCATTATTTTGAAACACAATGTGCCCACCAGGCCCAACAAAAGTTGAGAAACTTGCTTAGTAGTACTGGGCCTGGATGACTGATTGGAATTGGGCTTTGCATGGCCTTCTTGACGCCCATACCCATAATAAGCCTCATCCTCATTCTCAAGGTCATAGGGAACCACTCTGCGAGCATTGGGAGTTCACATCCTACTTTTTGGGTTTCTCCCTCCCCATTCTTTATGAATGGGCTTCTCCCTCCACCTTCTTTATGAAATGGAGAGAAGATCATTATCTTGAAACCCATCCTCATTGATTGCCTAGCAAGTTTCCCTCACATGGTGCCCATGTGCTCTTGGAGGCCAAACAAACCCAATCGAAGCACCATCCATATTGCGCTGCTGTCTGGGGCATTTGCTCAATGGCTTGTATAGCAATACAATTTGCTCAAAGTCAGGATCCCAATCTCTCATGCCCAGGTGTTGCGTCTATGCAGCCGCCTTTGGTCTCAAATGAAATTGCATACATACAGCCACAACCCCAATGCCAGCTGTTTGATGCACCCAATGCTTCATCTCATCTCATCTCATCTCATTTCATCCACATTGGAAAGTTCCATTTTCCTATGCTCTCTAGCTATATGCCCATCTCCAAATCAAGACACTCTTCCACACTCCACCATTGAGACCATACAGTCTAAGTATTCACCCTCACCACATAGAGCCTGAATCCCCCATTCCTTCTCCATGTTCTGATAGGCAATGATCCAATTGGCATGGCTCTGATCTGTCAGATCTCTCATCAAGCTTTTGCAAAAATACTAGCTGCTAGCTCTCATGATTCCCACACAGAAGTCCATCAAATATAATCTATCAGCAAGTTCAGGATATCACATCATATATCATCAGATCATCACCTCTATGAGGGGGATCTTGTCTCCAAGACCTCCAATCTCAATGAGTCCTCAATCTCCAGCAACTGGGCCTGCCGGGCTCCTCCCCGGGAGAGGGGGGGGGGACGAAAAAAAAGAAATTGCTCATGGGATTGGGCAACCTTTTTTTTTTCGCCCCCGCCCCTGAGAAGCCCAGGCCCCAGGCCCCAGTTGCTGGGAGATTGAGAACTCATTGAGATTGGAGGTCTTGGAGACCAGATCTCCCTCATAGAGGTGATGACCTGGTGATGTATGATGGGATGTCGTGGAGTTGCTGATAGATGCTGGTTGATGGACTTCTGTGTGGGAATCATGAGAACTAGTATGATTGAATAAGATTGATGAAACATTTGACACATTACAAGTCAACATGTTTGCTAGACACGTTCTTCAAAACAACTAACATTTTCAAAAAAACACAGAAAACCACAAATCACAAAAACGCGTAAAACCCACACCCGCATAACGTCGTTTTCTGCCCGAAAATCAGGCGTCCCTGTTGTCGGACTTTTTTGGGGGGAGAAGTTCACCGCCCGAGGCTTCCGGTTTTTTGGGGTGAAGAAGGCGGTCGACCGTAAGGGATGGATCCCTCTGGGACCCAGACAGAGAAACTCCATGGGACAGGCATATTTGCATACATGGGAGTGGTTGGCAGGCATATATATATATATACCAGTCCCACATATGGAGTGTTTGGGTAAATAGAACATCTCTTTTTATGTCCTAGTAGCCTAGCTTCTCGCCATATTCGCCTCTCTGTGTGTTAAACCCCTCTCACCAGCACCAGCTCGCTTGCTCAGCTCCAGCTCTTCTCCTCCCCAGCTTGACTGAGGAGCAAACTGAGTGGCGTGGTGGCGGCTCAGTCCATGAGCCTGGCGCAGGAAGCAGCCCGGGTCGCCTTAGCAGGTGACCTCTCCAGCCCAGTGCAGCGGCTAGGCTTGGTGACGAGATAGAGGAGGTCAGGGGGGAGGTCAGGGGGATCTAGACCCCCAGACTGATGACAGTGTTGGGTAGAGGTTGTTTCAATTATTATGTTAAACTCAACACTTTTTTGGGGAGAGGAGGAATGAACAGAGTTGATGTTCTTGCCTGCCAACCTAGGAGGAAATCTGAGTGCAGATGATTTTTTGGAGAACCCAAACAGGGGCGCAGTGTCCGTATGACTGTTTGGGTGTAGCTAAGATCTGGAAGAGAAGGGTTTAGATAAACATCTTTGCAAGGGAATCAGAGTTGTCAGTAAATTGTGTGGAGCTGGAGCCCGAGAGTATTCAAGCTGGTAGATGGCCTCACGGAAGACGACATTCCTTTTGCTGGTGATCTATTTGATATGGTCCGTCCTTTTTCTGCTTGCAGGCAACCCCCGTTGTCCCAACATGTTGCAACCAACAAAACCAGCAAAGACAGTCACCGTCTTCCTCAATGTTGATACAGGTTGCACTCAGTAGATCCCGGGTTTTTGAGGTTCAATTGCAAGGTCAAAGGGAAGAAGCAGATTGAAATTGATTGAAATTGTTGTCTGTCCTGAACTGAAACGTGTTTTAGATCATTTTTGACCATCCATTTAGGATCCTCTTTCAACTGCGGAAAAACTGGGATGCTCTTTCATTCCTTCGGTTTGTGAAGCTTTCAGAAAAGCGTGCGCAGATCTGAGGTTCACCCTGTTTGGCGTCGACATGATTCTCGGCTTTTCGCCTCAGTTCAGCAGTGCGGGCAAGGCGCTCTCCGCCACAGAGAGCTCCGAGAGCTGACCGTCGATCGAAACGAGTCCGCCTCTAATAGCCCAGTAAGTCCAAAGGACAGAGTGGCTTCAATAGACCCACTGGGTTCTTCTTCAGACCCACTGGGTACAATAGACCCACTCTGGGCGCCCGAGGCGTCTCTGGACTTACTGTTTGGGTTCGGTGGGAGGAGAGCGACCAGTCAGACCTCTCGTCGCGAACGAAGGCGCGCGAGCCGCTCGCGGTCGTCGCGGCAGGTGATTGGCGTCTTTGCAGTGGGTCAGCTGCCCATCGTCTCTAAGGAGTTGAGTGACTATACCCAAGCCAAGGCGCGGTGGATGAATTGATATAAACCAGGAGTCACATGGAGTTGGGTGGTTTGTAGCCCCTTACGTGAGTGGAGTAGCTGGGCACCCCTATCCTCCATGGATAGCACCCCTACAAGTGACTGCTGGAAGCTCATTGTTCCTGCAAGTGACTTGTGCTTAAAGGAGATCGATCTTGCCAGATGTGCTTGACACCAATGTTGGAAGAGGTCTCTTCCTTTCTTCCCAACTGAAAGCCGACAACGATGCAACACATTGAAAACAAAACCAGAGCGGGGTGATTTTCATTCCTGCCGAATTTCATCTATCAGACTATATCATTAGACTATATCTATCATCATATCATATCATATATGCATGAGCCATTTAAACACGGTTGCTTCCCGGTAGAACACCCCCATCTTGCCGGCCCATCGGCCCATCCTCCCCGACAGGATGCCGCGCTGCAAGAGCTCCGGGCTCCGTTGCACGGCATCCTGGGTCTTGCAAACACCTTGTCTCAGGACCGGTGCGAGGTGCGACGCTCCACACGGAGCAGCGCGTCGTCCGGTGGCACGGAGCAGCGCGTGGAGGTTGGTTGGACCCCGGACTCAAGACCTTGGAAAAGCCGCACCCTTTCGATGAAGATAGATGAAGATCAACTTTTCCCTTTCGGTGTCGACCGCTTAATGTTGGTGGACATTGATGTAGGAACCATCGGGGGTAGGGGTTGGTCCAACTTGATGCCCAAGATTATTCTGATGTATTTACTAGTAGCGATGCACTTGTTCCTAGTAGCTTCTTGTTTCTACTAGCTTCTTGCTCCTAGCAGCGTCTTTGTTACTACTAGTAAGGCACTTGTTACTACTAGTAAGGCACTTGTTACTACTAGTAAGGCACT